TTCTTTATTTTCATATAACTTCGCTGATATAACAGCAAAATAGTTAATTCGGAAGTTTTATGACACTGAGTTGTAACCAAAATAAAATTTACCAAGTAGTGTTTCAGCTAAGCCTTACGTTTATATATTAGGCCTCATCCTTAAATTAGACTACAAATAGGCCTACCATTACTAACGTTATAGAGTCAGTGTTTAAAGTTTTAATTGGTGAATAAATGTTAATTAATAAATATTATTTTGGTATTTTAACACATATATTATCTACTTGCCCTTAAAACATAGAGAAAAATTAACTTTTATTACTATCAAATATCTTTTATTCTTTGTACAGTCGCTAGACTTGAAAATTTGTGTCGGAATGTCCGCACTATGTTTTCTACTTCCTGACCTAGAATACAGTGAAAAGGCTCAAGAGTGTTATTTAACTTTAAGTCACTTTCAGGGTACACACGTACTTTTGTTCACGATAACATTTTCATTTTTTCTGCTTACTTTTTGTTTAAAATGTGGTGATTAAAGAATTACTTCGAGACTGATGAAATAAGTAAAGAGTAGGTGTATTTTGGAGGTACAGACAAAGTAGTTTTTGTTAAATTCTATAATTTTCGTTAATCATTCATTTTTGACGAACTTTTATACTAAAGTAAATAACAAATCTTAACACAAAATCATATCATCTTTAAACTTTATGAAATATTAGTAAATACAGTGTAAAAGTAATTAAGATGTTTAATTCTTTATTTCTGGTGCGACATTTCAAACCTGTTGGATAAGACGGCCACCAATGCATGACAGTTGCAACATCTCTCAGCTCAAAGGTTACTTAATGTTGTCAATACGGTTTTTCCAGGTGAGAATCAAGTTGGATGGCTTGTTATTCACTATTCCACCCGTTCGGTCTGGAAATGGTTACAAACTGGGCTTGGTATAATTTTCATGGAACCTTCTTATCATAGTTTGTTAATTTATCTTGGCCAGCTAAACTCTGAAAATGGACTTGATGGTGTCGTGGCTGGAATAGTCCAGGAAGACTCTTCATTAACAGATGGTAGAGTAGTAGTGGTAATAGGTGTAGACCTATTCCTTATTTTGTAGTTGATGATCTTTTTTGGTTGAAACTCTCGAGACGATGCAAAAAGAGGTGTGTCTGACTCAATGTTTACATTAATAATTTATTTTCCAGATGTTTTATTTTGTCACTGGTGCTCTTTTCTACCTCGTTGATGTCTTTCTTAGTTTCTCTTTTGATTTTGTAAATGTTGTCATTAAAGCCTTTCTATACTTCTTCAATTTCGTTGTTTTAATTTCTCTGAGTTTCATCAATCTTGTCTTCAATCAGGTTTATATTTTATTTTTTATATAGTAAGCCTCTTTGTTTTAACTATTTTCTTAAATTCTTGTCTCTTACCCTTTCTTTGAATTTTTTGTAAACTTCTTCCTTATCTTTTTTTGTTTTATCTCATTATCCTAGTTATCTATCCCTTTCTTCTTGTTCATTTTCTGCTTCTCTCTTCTTTTCCTTCTTTTATCTCGTTCATCCTGGTTTTCTCATATATTTTTCTATTCCTTTTCTTTTGGTTTTCTCTTAATTTTCTGTCTCGTTTCTCCTGATCTTGCCTTAATAATTTCATCATCTCAAGTAACGATTCACTCTCACTCTTTGACCTCGTGATTTTCACATTCAACAGTCAAAGTTCTATTCTATTTACGCCAAAATAATATCCTTTTTATGATACGAGTGTAGCCGCGTAGTTCTTTCGTTGGCGGATTTTTTAAACTATCTGGTGGGAATAATTCAACATTCACTCCACGTAACGATAGTAAACTACTTTATTTTCTCCTTTAACGATTCTAAAAACTTCCGTATATTGTTGTAGGCCTACGATACAATTAACGTTAGATGACGTAAAACAAATAAACTGATGATGACAAAACCTTGTCGAAACGTTGTACATTTATTGTTATGTTAAACTTATATTAAAGTTTTTCTTCATTACCCATTCAGGCCGTCTCCAACCGTCTCAAAGTGGGTTCCTCGTCATCGAAAATAAACTTACTTGTACAAAGTAACCGCGATATCTAACAGACAGACTGGTTCACTCTCTATTCTGAAATAACTCTACACAGTTCACAACTATGTCATATTTATAATCTAGCTTCGAACGTGCTACAACACTAAGTCACATTCTTAGAACTTTCTAAGTGTTCTAGATCTATCTTATTAAATACATTAAAAATAGCCCCCTAGTGGCACAGCGGTATGCCTATGCACTTACACCGCTAGAAACCAGTTTTCGATACCCGTGGTGGGCAGAGCACAAATAGCCGTTTGTGTAGCTTTGTGCTTAACAACAAACAAACATTTAAAATAAAGATTGTAACGGACAATTTAAACATACAGCTGGATGACTTTGTTCAGTCTATACTGGATATTAAAAACTTGCTTCGGAAACAATATGTGTTTTGGACACATTATTAGATGTAGGGCTTTATTGTCAGCAGTAGTAGAATTTAGCCCTGCAACAGAAATGAATAAAAAAAATATATATACCGTCCGATTGTTTTCACGCCATGTTGTTTGGTAGTGTTACGTCTCCGTTCGTTCGTTAATTTTCCGTAAATTTCGTTCCGACGAAACTTTAGCGACGCAAGTCCTTTCTTAAATAAAACTGGTTTATTCTTTCTGAACATAACTTTGCGATACACTTAATTTCAACAGTCGCGCTATAACAAACGCTATAATTCTCAACGAACGTCTCACGTGCTCGCCTCAACAATACTCAGTTCAATTACACATTGTTCCGTCAAGTTGTGACCGTCATATATATACAAGACTAACACATATCTAGTAAACGCTAGAGCATTCATGAAGGAACAGGATATTTCTAGAAGTCAATGACGTGTTACTAGAGTCACGTGACCTGCGTTGTCGTAACAGTAGTTTTATGCTCTTGGTTTATAGATGTGTTAAAAACTCTAGTAGAGAGTGACAAATTTCAATGTAATGAAGCCTGTTCTTTATTAAAACATCTGTAGCCGTTTAATGTTGAGTTTATCATCGTAACTGCAACAACAATATTACACAGGAGCTGAGAACAAGCATCCGAATTGCTGCAGAACTCTAATAATGAAACAACGTCTTTGATAAACAAATCTAATGAAACAGAAGAAACGGAAACAAAAGAGAGCAGATGCTTCCGAACTCTGGATGTAAATTATAATACCAACACAGTTAAACAATCGTACTAAAGTAACGAAATAGTTTTCAGAATTGTTAACCTCTTTAACAGATGATGAGGTTTAGAGAAGGAGAATCCTGGCGGAGACTTTCCAAAACAACTCTATCCACAACACTACTGGAGAATGTTTGAAATCAGAACCTTCAAACTGAACTCTGTGAAAGAACTTGCTACGTTACTTATGGTAGAAAACCGTGTTCTTTCTACAGGATTTCCAGATATGTCTACAACATACTGATATTAAGATTAATTAAGAATGATCTACTAAGTTCTATGAAGGATACAGGTTTAAGTGACTTTGTCATTCTGTCAATAATGTTTGGATACAAAGTCAACTGTTTTGCCCAGAAAAGAGAGGGAAATTCTGCTTTTGATGAAATTGTGAGTCTAGAAATGTTATTGGCTTATAAGTTAATTACGTTAGAATGTTTAAATGGAGGTTAAAGTAAATACAAAATTGGGTAAACTATCGGGAAGTAGAGAAACCTTACGTTAAAATGAGCCCGGGCCTTTATGAGTCTTGCTACACCCATTTGGGAACATCTCGGCTGATTGGCTAAGTTTTCAAGACAAGTGGCTTTTCTTCTAAATGATAACGACGTTTTGAAAATTAAGTAATTTTGTTTGAAAGGTTTTTCTTATTTGGTAATCCTAGTTTCTACATTTGTTTATCTGGTCTAAAATCCTTTTACTGATAAAATGCAAACATTCTTTAACAATGCTGATTTTCTATAAATACCAAGCACGTGCTTAGAGTTACCACGTGGAAATAAACCCCGCCCCTAAAAACAACGGTAGACCAATCATAGTGCGCTATCAAATTAAAGGACGATATATATTTTCTTCAGTTTTCTATAACACATTTTAATTTTTACTTGTATTTTCTACTTACTAACACAGAAATACAATTTCTCATACCATTAAATGCTTGTGAAAATTTTCAATTATAAATACTTTGTTTTCAAAACAGAATGAAGCTATTGGTTGAATTAAATAGTTTAAATACCCCAAGAAGTCCAAACTCACGCTCATAGGTGCGGTATAGTGTATTATATTAGAGATCGGTTTATCTTTTTAATAGTTTCTGTTGTAGTAATTGTACATAAGAAATTATCTAGAATAATCCATGTCTCCTAAAGTACAACATGCTGCTGTCGATGGTCTTGATATATGTCATAAACTAGCAATTTCTTATGTATAATGAATAGCCAATTCATGTTTAGGGCTCATGGCCTCAAAATTCCGCGGGAAATACAATTCGCGCCAAAACACGAATCCTTTGTGCCACTTGAAGTTTTTGGCGTCAAGGTGTGGGTCGTGAAAGGGTGATTTATTCGACTTGTAAATCCTCCGTAATCTGTTGTTATTTTTAATATTTTCATTAAATCCATCTCTGTGTACTTTCTCAAATGTGTGGATATTTCATTGTAAACATTAAATCAAGAACATCGTAACCATAATACTTAGAAATTACCCAAAATTAGAGATATATTAGGGTTAACGTTAGCATCATGCCAAGGACACCTCGGGCGACTACTGTTTTACAAAATATTAGTACTGGCATTTCTTTAACATGTGAGGTTAACTGCGGACAAAGCCAGTTATTGACCCCTGTGGCTAGAACAGTGGCAGCCTCTCCAGACCGCAGACTTGGTGCTTCTAATCCTTCACCAATTATTATTGATCAGTATGGACAAACACCGGACCATTATTATTTAGCAAGAAATCCACCTAAACCTCCACCAGCTAGAAACCAGGTAGGTCTAGATATATTAATTTATTATCAAACTTTCTAAATATAAAGACATTTTTGTTAACAAAAAATTTAAAGTTTAATTATTTTTTTAGAAGAGAATAAACAAGACTTATTTTGTTAGGTTATGACGCATGTGACTAAGTTATTTAACTTATTGTTAATTTTACTTTTTTAATTTTCTTCATTAACACTGATGCTTGCTTGTTTTTATTCTAACTGTGAAGCAGTATTTACAGTTATTTAACAGCCATACATCCTATAAAGTTCAGTAAAAATGCCAGATGTTTCATTATTTTGTGTATGTATTTTGAAAATGTGACAGGTTTCAATATAAGCTGAAGCTTTAGAATGGTTATGACTCCAAGTTATAATACTACGACAAGAAATGTCAGGAGTATAGAACATTTGGTAGAGTTAAAGGGACCTCTTAGAAACAGCATTTGAGTCACTTTCTAAACAACTACATTTTCGTTGATAACATTCTGCATAGTTTCTGGATAATAAGGTCTCACCCAAAGTTGAAATTTATCTGATTCAATTCTCTCATGTGGATTCTCACCAGTTTTGATGTTTTTTAATGAATATTTTCTAGAAAAATAGAATAGAGATGATTAGAGAACAAGGTAAATTATCATTGATTTTCTGTGTGTGTGTAGACACCTGTATATCTCCTTTTTTATATAGTCATAAGATAACTAGGTTTTATATTATATGATACTGTGTTTAAATCCATTTGATTTAAACTTACCAATGTCTGCCTTTCTATAGTTAAAGATTTAATATAGTAAAATTAATTTTGGGTTTGAAGTTTGTAAAGATACCCGAAAACTTTATTTTGCTTAGTTTGTGTCCTTATTACAGGAAAAGTAGTGGGACAGTAATATTTGATGAGATTCTTGGTTATATTTTTATTATTATATTGTCCTTAACTCAGTAACTGTCTGAAGTATAATAGAAAGTTATTGGAGTAATACATTGTATCCAGACTGAAATGTTGAGCCATGAAGTAAAACATAATTATCAAGAACTTAATATATAAAAGATGTAGAATTATTCAAAGATTGAAAAGTTGTAAATGACTTTTGATCTGAAGTTAAAAGACTTTTATTAATATGTTGAGCATTATGGTGAGTTACAGATAGTATCTGGAACGTTTACTGGATGGATATTTCCTTAATTATGTCGATTTTCCTTCACAGATCTCTTTCATGGAAGTTGAGGGTTAAGTGTTGGTAACCTTCATTTGTTGAAATATTTCCTAAAGACCATGCAAGGTCGTTTAACTTGTGAATGTTACCCTTCACTGTCTGAACATCCACTCTGACATCACCACCTCAAACTAAGTGTAGCCTAAAATAGAAGTAGTTTCAAGTAAAAGCAAATCTAGTTTGTGACTTTCAGAGCTTATATTCATTTTTCTTCATGTTTATAAACTCCTAATTTTAATTATCTTTTAACTTTCACATCACCCCTTTGCAGTCTATGTAGTAATTTTAAACTATTCATTAAAAACACGTTTTTCTTCATGTGATTTTTATTTTGAACTTTATGTGTAATAGGTGAAACGACGTTTAGATTTAGAATGTCCAGAGGGAAGCAGTGACAGCGAAGGTTTCAAAACACCCAGGGCTAAAAGAGGACGATTTTCTTCTGTCAGTTCTTATGATAGTCCTAAAGGTACAAGTTGAAAATTTTAAACAAAAAAACTTTTTTTATACCACAAGTTGTATTTCTTGCTGTAGTCATTATTTGACCGTTTGAAGATGAATCTTTTCATGGTAGAATTTAAAACTTTGGAGGGAACAACAATTTTCTAGACAGCATTACTGTTTAGGAAGATATGTATAAGGTTGTTTCATTGATTGGTAATACTAGTTCACGCCAATAAGTAGGGTTAAACCTATCGTTAATACTCAAACAAATATAGGATATCAAATATTTTCTGATGATGTTGGAGCTTAGAAGTAGAATGTGAAGTAATGGGTCACCACATGTTTGATGTTAGTAATCATTTTGTTATTTGGTGTTTAAAAGGGTCAAAGGTTGAGATTTAATGCCAATTAAGACAATCCCTGTTACAAAGTTAATAACAAAAATCCTAAAAAGGGAACAAAAGTCACAAACATTCTCATGTTTTAAAAATCTGTACGATCATCTGAGTCTATTATGAATTATTTACTAATTAATTAAAACTGTGATTGTGTTGTAAAAGTGTTGGGAATATAAAAATGTTTTAGTTAAAAGAGATCTCTTAGAAACTTAAGTCCACGTGTGTTAAGTTGTCTTATAACAGCTGTACTAAACCTTCTACATTAATATAACTTACTTCCAACATGAAAATAAATACTATACTACCACTAACAAGAAGGCCTAGCTTTGGGCTCGGTCCTATAACCAGTACTCTGTAACTTATACATGGGACGTTTTGAAGTTAATGCTTTCAAAAAGTTGCTTTACATCTCAAAGTTTGGTTGACATCAGGGCCCTCTAAAGGGAGCAAGGAGAAAACAACTGGTCATGCAAGGTTATGAGGAGCTAACATGACTACCAGTAATGCCTCTAGGCAGAAGTTACTAGATCTGATGTTATAGAAAGTTTTTCTGATGTGGTATTTCAATATATTTTTAAAAACAGAGTAGTTCTTCAAATAACTTTGGAACTGTGGACATTTAGCTGTGGATATTTAATTATAGTCTCCCAATTGTTATTTTAAATGACGTGGGACCAGAAGAGGGGACAGTGTTTTTGGGTGCAAGGGGTGGGGGTTCCTACAGCCCTACCTTTAATTTGTCCTTGGCTGAAAACTGCAAAGGATATGTAATCAACGTAAAATTAGAAAAGTATTCCGAACCTACACAACAAACCACCTAAAAACCCAAAGGAGATAAAAAAAAACAAAACATTATTTACAGCATTCCTTGTGAATGTGAATTCCAATAAGTTGGAATACCAACAATAGTTAGAATTTAAGAATATGATATATATACACACAGGTAACGATCTATCTGTGAGATCCCATCAAGCCAGAGGAGACCATACAATAACACTGAAATAATAAACCACACACGAGAAAAAGACAGATAAAAGAATCCTTCAACATCTACTTGACGGGTAACTCCTTCTGTTAACCTAGCTCAGCAAAACCTGGATACACTTGAAAATATTCAAATAGTTTGTAAATTCAGGTTCTGATGGGGAAGACACTTGAAGAAGACCCAGGATCAGATCCCAACCACTACTAGTACAGAAAAGCCTTTTTTAATATTTCCTGAAGACAGCAGCAAATTGGTAGCTGAAATTTAGAATAAAAAGTAGTTGGTATCTAGTTATATACATATATTGTTATCCTGTTATCGGTATATTGTTAATGCTATTAATTAGATTTAAGTGGTTTTATTGGACACCAAAAATCTTGATTGATGTCTGATCACCATGACGTTACTTTAAGAACGTTAATGTTTACTAGTTTGTGACAAGGATTAAGTTTTCATCTTGAATCTGTAAACAAATTATTCTGAGGGTGTAATGTTTTTAGGTTTAGTTTGTATGATGTTTTGGGTTTCTTGTCAAAAACTTCTGTATATGTTGTAAAGAAATGATAAATCCAAGTTGGTTGTTAAGTCTTAAAACACTACTGTAAATGTTACAATGGAGTATTAGATAGCACATGTTAATTTGCAACGATTTAATATGTTTTACTAAATAGTCTTAGCCGATTTGTTTCGATTATCTAAAACGTACACTACAACAAAACTAGGAGTAACATATTTTGTTGTTTTGTTCATTTTTGCACTTATATTTATAAGTTTTCACTCAGTTTTCAACTTTTTAGGTCTTATTGGCATTATAGACATAACTAAATTAGATAGTTATACAAATTATGAATTAATATTCACAACTCCTTTTCAAGTGCATTAGTTATAATTTTGATTATTACCTGAGTAAATATAAGATCCTGGTCACGTTGTTTAATTTCAATGGTACATCGTATAGGTTGTTTAACGGCGACTTGCCCACATCCCCCTCTTGAAATTCAACATTACTTTCATAGTTGTCAGATCATTTCACTAAGGGGATCCATATGTGAACTACTTTGTAATTCTTACAGTGTAACAACCAGAAACAATGTAATGTAAGGATTTAAAATTCTTGTAAAAATGATAAAAAGCAGGAAGCCTAAGTTAATTTTTTTACCATGAAAATATAGAACATTTCTGTTATTTGTAAAAACATAATTTTTTTTTTTTGAGATCCTCCTCTGTAATTTTTCCTGATACCTTTTAAATTGCATCTGTATTTAAAATTTATATTTACGTCAAGAGACTCCTAATCTTTTGAAATTTTCCATTACCTTTCTTGGCATATTTTTACTTATTTCTCTCTAAGTATTATTATTATTCTTATGTGTGATTGTTTTGTCAATTTGAAAACAATAGTTGTGGTTTAATAAATATATGATGGTGTGTTTTATTGTAAATAAATCATAAGTTCAAATTTCCAGACTCGAAATGTAAGTACATGAAATAATACAAAGTTTTGGTAATGAATGTTTGTTTCTGTATTTTTTTTTTGTGCATGTAAAACATGTAATTTATAAGTAATCACTGTAGTACATGTATGTGTGTGATAATTGACAACAAACAAGTTATAAACATCTATTCTGATAATGTTTCCTTATTTAGTAACGCGTCTTTTAGAGGCCTTACTAATACTTGCTTTTTTTTCAGTAAAATCACCAGCAGAGAAAACAAGGTATGATACGTCGCTGGGACTTCTTACAAAACGTTTCGTCGGCTTGTTGACAGATGCACATAATGGAGTAAGAAATAAACATAGTTAATTTGTGTTGTGGAAATTAATTTTTAGAAAAAAATACTTTTACGGTTATATCCAGTTATATGAACTGTGATGTTAACAAAATGATGTGTAGAAATAATATAAGTGTTAAATACTAACAAAGGTTTACATGATGACATGTAATTAGTGATAAACCCACAACCATATGGTGGTGAATGTAGCCTCTCAGATCAATACAGGCCCCACCCTGGTTGAGTTTTCCGATAACTCTGGATCATTCCCTTTTCTTTGTTCAAAGAACAAACATTCTTTTTAAAAAAGGGTTAGTAAGGCAAGATTTATCTTCAGGGAATCCATGTTGGCTTTTATTCATATTATATTTCACTAAATGATTTTATAAAGTGTCTTTTATCAGACTTTTTCCAACTTTACAAAACTCAACTTTTATCACTCCCTCATAAATGAATCAATATTCTTTAACATTTCTAAAAATTTCTTTACAGTGGGTTTTTTTTAAGTGATCTTGACTCTTTAATTTTTATTTTTTCATATTTCAGTAACTGAATTTGAATTTGCGTACTGTTCTGAATGCTTAATACCTGAAATAATTATTGTAAGTTGAAAAAAACTTGGGTATAATTTTCTTCCTTCTGATGCCTTTTTAAGAATTCAAGATCTAATAATGTGTTATCATAAAATTTTTCAGTTTTCCTAGAAAATTTAAGACATTTTGTACCATTTTTGTTTGTTAGTATTTTATTTATAGATTTACGTTTGGGAAATCTTAAGAAGGATTATAAATTTCACTGTTATGATGATAGTCTATCGAAGGGTATTCCAATGTTTCACGAAAACTTAACTTATTGTTATTTTGATGTAAAACTTGAACGTTGGACATTTAATTTAGTGCAGAAGATTCTTTTCCAATTTGTACGAGAGTTGACTGTTAGAGAAACACTCATAGAAAATATATTGGTGACTGTACAGTCTACTTATGGAAATCAAATGTAGAGAATGATGTTTTGAAAGTCTTCTGCCTTTCATCTTCAGGACCTGGAATTTTGGTTAGAACCCAGTACACAAACTAATAAAAGTTAGAAAATGTAAAGAAAAAAATTCATTTCAAAAAGTTATTTAACCTGAGAGGTTCTAATATTGATTTTTTTTTTTTGTATACAGCACCTTTGAAAATCGAGTAATGTAGTGGGACTCCAAGCATCAGGTGCCCACCCACTGTCTATTAAAAATGACAGAGAAAAGCTTGCATATCTGATGCTTGTCTTGCTTTAAAACTGTGGGAAAAACATTGTCTGGCCCTGATGGTTTATCTACCTTTACTCCCATTCTCTCTACTTGCCACAATATTTACATGAAATCCATTATTGTCTAGAAATTCCCAAGAATGTTGTTATTATCTGTTAGTGCAAAAGCAGAAAAGGTGGAAACACTTGAAAGCTCTTATTATATATGACAGAAGTGAAAGTTTTGAAAGAATATACATTTTAAAACTTGAGTGACAGTGTTTTTGTTTTTTTTTTGGATAAGCTAGACTTCAGTTGATTCACTTATTTTTGTATGTTTAACACTAACTGCTATCAACTTCATTACTTGTGCAGAATTAATGTATTCTTTAAAAAATAATTGATTTGAAGATTTTAAAGAAGCTTTTATATGTAGCTGATGGACAGAAAACAGCCTTAGACCAAATCCCAATTGTGTCAAGTTTTGTCCACGTTTCACATACGTGTCGTGTTTCTCATTGCTTTTTGCAATATTTTGTTCTTAAAGTTGATTTAATTTTTCAGGTGGTTGATCTGAATAAAGCTTCTTCACTTCTTGATGTCCAAAAACGTCGTATTTATGACATCACAAACGTATTAGAAGGAATAGGACTTATAGAGAAGAAATCAAAGAACAACATACAGTGGAGGTGAGACATAAACTTGACACTATAATTATAAATTGTATTATTCATCAACATACACAACTAAAGTTAATGTTTTTCTCATAACCTTTATGATACTTGGAAATAATTTGAAATACAAAAGTAGATATTCATAATTCAAGTTTTGCAAGTTCAGAGACATAAGTCAAGATTTGCAACTTCAGTAGCACAGAACTCAAACCATTTTGGGGGGTAGACATTAATTGAAGCTAAATTCAAAATTGTCTTGTTAATTTTGTTAAAAACAGTTCTTCTAAAAGTGTTAGTTATTTTGTTTCTTAGCTGTTGCATATTACTTTGATAACAGGAGGTTTTTTAAAGTGTTACAGATTGAGTTATGTACTTAACCTTGTAGTCTGGGTGAAGGTGTTTTTTTTGACATAATTACTACTATCATTATCATTTTGAATCCTCATATCAGTTTACTTTATTGCAGGATTGCTTTTAAATATAGTTAACATGTAGTTTGGAAACTGTGGATATTATAGTCCTTTTTCTAGAAGCTCAAGTAGATAAAAGTTCTTATCCCTCCTCCTTGTAGAGATTTAAAAGAGTCTAGTAAAATTTTAGTATAGGACATCTTTCAGGAGGTGGCAGTCCATCCTTATGTAGGCTTATGGTACTTCAGTCTCTCGTGAAGATGATCTTTGTAATATGTGCGACTTTCAGACACCGTTGGTAGTGCAATCTTGCTACTGTGTGGTGCAGGATCTTAGAGACCCTGGTTTCTGGAAATTGTTTTAGATTTTCTTTGCAAAACTATGGGTGGAGTGTTTTTTTTACAAGCTGAAGGTGATGACCCTTAACTTTATGTTCAATATTTTTATAAATCAACATTAAATAGTGCAGAGAAAGATAGATTCAAGACTTTTCTATAGATTAAAAAGGATGTTTTTAACAATAACTGTATCCGTTTTCTATAGGGTAGCAGTCTCGTGGCACAGGAGATGAAAAGTTAATTAATTCAACAATTTTGTAAAGTATCTCAACTGAAATGAAATCTCAGATCAGTTCAGTTTAGGAATGTTACAAACTTTGGTTGTTAAGGTTTCTAGAATATGGAGTCTTCAGTAAGACCACAAGTTATGGTGGGGTATTACCGTAACGTACGGACAACAAGAGACAATTAGTTTGTTAAGGTTTCTAGAATATGGAGTCTTCAGTAAGACCACAAGTTATGATGGGGTATTACCGTAACGTACGGACAACAAGAGACATTTAGTTTGTTAAGACTGTCCTTGCACATCCACCCTCGAGAAAGGTAAAAATTTTAACCCACACTTCATTGTTCAGGAAATTATTGATTTCCGGTTTCCAGTAAAGTGCTGGACACCAATACTGCTAATGGCAACTTATTCCATACCTCAGTCACTTTGTTAGAAAAATATAACTGTCTTAACTGGAGCTTGGACATTTTTTTTTCTCCAAATTTGAAACTTGTGTCTTGTTATTCTGTTATTTTTAGAATGTAGCGAAAAATGGGGACTTATCAAACCCATAATTGTGTACTTCAATAAAATCATCTCTAACCATTCTTTTTTCAAGAGACAATAATATATCTTAACCTTTCCCTATAAGGTAATGCTTCCTGTGAATCACTTCTACCCTATAAGGTAACCCTTCCATCCTTCCTGTGAATCACTTCCACCCTATAAGGTAACACTTCCATCCTTCCTGTGAATCACTTCCACCCTATAAGGTAACCCTTCCATCCTTCATTTGAATCACTTCCAGTAAGTGAGTATCCTTTCTTAGAGAAAGAAACAAAGACTGTACACAGTATTCTAAGTGAGGTCTAAGTAGTAATTTGTATAGAGAGATAATTGTTTTGGCTTTTAATCAATATATCTCTATAAGTATACCCTGAATTCGATTAATTTCACACTAGAACAGAGCACTACATTGATGGACTTGCTCACTATCGAACATCGCTTGCTTCAGCCATGCTCTTTAGTGGTGCCTATTTATATGATCGAGATTATGATTACTCAAATGCTTGTAATACTTTGAACTCATAGGTAATTTACTAGTTGATTCAAGTCATTCTCATGCTCATTACAGTTAAAAAGACCACAAGTTTAATGTCATCAGCAAGCTTTACTAATTATGTCCCTATCAATATAAAGAAACAGCCCAAAGTCAGACACTTAAGCTACTCCAGTTTGACTAGTCTCCATTAATAACCACCTTGTTTCTTCCCATCAAACTAGTCCTAATCTCTACGGATTTTTGTAGCCAATCTTTCATGCTGCACCTTATCAAAGCGTTTTGAAAATTTTAAGAAAATCAAGACTTTACTGTTTCCATCATTCAGCTAATAAGTAATATCCTTAAAACTAAACAACAGATTAGTAAAGAAGGATTTCCCTTTGATGAATCCTTAAGTTTCTTGTATATCATATTTCATGAAATGATTTTATAAAACATCGTTTATAAGAACATTTGGAATGTTTTCCAATAAAGAAATAAGACTGAGAATTTTTTAACTGTTTTTAACTGTTTAACCAGTTATGTTGGTGGTTAAAAATTATCATTAAACTAGTTGCATATTGTGATCTTGTAAAGCAGAGGAAAGACAAAGAGATCTATTACTGAGTTATAGAGAGAAGTAATATGGGCTTTGTAATTGAGGTCTGGTTAAAAAAAAAAGAAGTAAAATTCTATTAGCTGTAGCTTATGATTTAATTATTAGTTAAAAGGTGCTAGTATTTTTCCTATTGTAGGTTTTAATATTCTGTTGGTTAGAATAATTACTAATAATATCTGTGAGATTTCTATTTTCACTTCTTTCTTCCTCTGCATTGTGCATTTTGATGAACTGTTTTATTTCTAAAGATAATGCTTCTCTTCCTTCTAGAGGTGATCACTCTACTGTTTCTGGAGCTCAGGCAAAGCTGGAACGAGATCTGGACTTATTAGATGCCAAGGAAAACCAGCTAGATGAGCTTATCCAATGTGCAAAGCTAGAGCTAAAAATGGTGACAGAAGCAGAAGAAAATAAAAGATATCCTTTCTTTGTCTTGTTTATGTTAATTTTAGAAATTGTACTGTGATCTCTGTGGTGTATTCTTTACTTTGGGCCCTTTCTTTGTCTCATGTGTGTGTGTGTGTTGAGTTTAATGATTGTACTGTGATCTCCGTGGAGTATTCTTTACTTCTGGTCCTTTGTTTGTCTCGTGTGTGTGTGTGTTAAGTTTAACAACTGTACAGTGATCTCCGTGGAGTATTCTTTACTTCTGGTCCTTTGTTTGTCTCGTGTGTGTGTGTTAAGTTTAACAACTGTACAGTGATCTCCGTGGAGTATTCTTTACTTCTGCTTCTTTCTTTGTCTCGTGTGTGTGTGTGTGTTAAGTTTAACAACTGTACAGTGATCTCCGTGGAGTATTCTTTACTTCTGGTCCTTTCTTTGTCTCGTGTGTGTGTTAAGTTTAACAACTGTACAGTGATCTCCGTGGAGTATTCTTTACTTCTGCTTCTTTCTTTGTCTCGTGTGTGTGTGTGTGTGTGTGTTAAGTTTAACAACTGTACAGTGATCTCCGTGGAGTATTCTTTACTTCTGGTCCTTTCTTTGTCTCGTGTGTGTATATTAAGTTTAACAGTTGTAAGG